GAATAATTTTCTGGCTGCGTCCTTTTGGTGCTTCAAGAGATGACCATGGCAGCAAACTTCGCGAGGCGGCTAATCGGAAACCGATCGACTCAGATCCTTGGTACAGTCAACTCTACGTCAAGCGCGGCCACTTCCGTCGCTAGGGCTTTCTGCTCATCTACCACTCCGATCACCGCAACTTTTTTCCCGGGCGATGGGATCGGTCCTGAAATTGCTGAATCCGTCAAAAAGGTACTTCATACTAATCAGTTTACTCCGTAGAATTTCGATTTCTGAGAAGTTACGAGAGAATTGTTTGATTCTAGTTTTGGATTGTTTACGATAATTTTGCGATTTTGTGTCAATTTCGTTGATGATTTATTTCATTTGTGCTGATCCAGGTGTTTACGACGGCTGGTGTGCCAATTGTTTGGGAAGATCACTATGTTGGAACTGAGATAGATCCTAGAACACAGAGTTTCTTGACCTGGGAAAGTCTTGAATCTGTGCGTAGAAACAAAGTTGGTTTGAAAGGTCCAATGGCTACTCCAATTGGGAAAGGTCACCGCTCTTTGAACTTGACTCTTAGGAAAGAGCTGAATCTATATGCCAATGTTAGACCTTGTTACAGTCTTCCTGGTTACAAGACTCGTTACGATGATGTTGATCTCATTACCATCAGGGAAAACACTGAAGGAGAATACAGTGGGCTTGAACATCAGGTTCAGTTTCTTTTGATTCTAATCTATCGAACATTTTTGGTTAGTTCTTCTAAGAAGTGTTTATGATACTCGTTTTGTTTTCGTGACTCGTGATATAGGTTGTTAGAGGTGTGGTGGAGAGTCTTAAAATCATTACCCGTCAGGCGAGTTTGAGAGTTGCAGAGTATGCTTTTCACTATGCAAAGACTCATGGAAGAGAGAGAGTTTCTGCGATTCACAAAGCTAACATTATGCAGAAAACTGATGGTCTTTTCCTCAAGGTTTGCCCTTTTCATAACCTCAGAATACATTCAACATTTTCTTACAAGGAGATCAAGTCAATGATTATTAGTGTCTTCTAAGTTTTGTTCTGTTTGTTCTGATACAATTTTCCATTTCTTCTTGCTTTTCAGTGTTGTCGTGAGGTTGCTGAGAAGTATCCTGAGATAACTTACGAGGAGGTTGTTATTGACAACTGCTGTATGATGGTAAGCTACAACTCCGAATCAATCATTTTTCTGTTAATTAAGTAGCTCAGGATTACCTTTGGAGGTTTTAGAAGTTTGACTTCCCAGCAACTTACTTGAGTTCCATTTTTTTTTTCATTTTCTTTTTACTCCTGGGGCTATTATATACTTGTATTGTGGAATGTGTGAATGTTTTATCTTGATGCCTGCAGCTTGTGAAAAACCCAGCACTTTTTGATGTTTTGGTGATGCCAAACCTTTACGGTGACATTATCAGTGACTTGTGTGCTGGATTAGTTGGAGGACTAGGATTGACTCCAAGGTGAAACATTGGTTCCTTCATTTTGAATATTATATTCTTTAGTATGATTATGAGCTAATCATCCTCGTTAATTTTGACGCAGTTGTAATATCGGGGAAGATGGTGTTGCCCTTGCTGAAGCTGTTCATGGTTCTGCACCTGATATCGCTGGAAAGGTTAGTCCTTGAAACACTTTCTCATTCCAGTTTCATCATATTCTCAGATAGTATCATTTCTACCATGTGAACTACCACCATTAAGTGAAACTGAGCGAAGAATCTTCATTTCTCTCGTTTCTACCTTTTCTTGGTAGCCTAGTCTCATTTTGAACTGTTATCTACCGGTTAATGAGTCTCATCTATGTGTCTCGTGTTTAGGCGTTATCAACCCGATGTTGAAAGACTAGAAAAATTGATTTCAAATGCTTTAGCATATGACATTTGAATTTGTTGCTCTTCATCTTTGTTGATGTAGAACTTGGCGAACCCAACCGCTTTGCTTCTGAGCGGAGTGATGATGTTACGTCACCTGAAGCTCAACGAACAAGCTGAACAAATCCACAGCGCAATCATCAACACCATAGCCGAGGGCAAATACAGAACTGCGGATCTCGGAGGTTCTTCCACCACCACGGATTTCACAAAAGCAATCTGTGATCATCTCTGAACGTCGTAAAATCTCAATTCTTTATGGGAATCTTCCTTGAGGCTTTGAGCCATTTTTAGCCTCCAAATTCTTCTTGTTTTACGATTTAGAATAAAAAAAAAAACCGGCATTGGCTTTGTCTCTTCATGAGTTTTATTACTTTTGAAGTTATTGTTTCTGCCTCAAAATGTCTTTTTTTTTAAGTTCTCATGCCATAAGGCAAAAGATTCATAACACAAAAAGAAGTGATGTGTTTTTTCCTCTGAAATACATAAGAAGAATTTTGTTTCTTGTAATTTAATCAGTTTATCAACTTGACTATAAAGACCTTCCATTCTTCTTGCTTGAAAGTTTTATCGTTGTTAATAGACTTTTGTTGTTAATTTTGTAAAATGACTAAATGATTATATATCTAATTATGATTTTGTGAATAAAATTCGATTGATAATTTTAATGAAATGGCATACTTATTCGGCCCACAAAGAAAAAGCAAGAGTCTACCGACAAAACAAACATTAAATTGGTAACATTTTTAGGTT